AATCTGAGCCCACAGGGGACTGTGAAGCAGGATTCTATTGTAGACAGGGATCTGCCAGTCCAGTATGATTGTTACATAAAACTTTATGTTGATTTAACCTTTTGCTTTTGATTGACGTTTAATAATCAAACCTTCTTTTTGATAGATTCCTCCTGATGGCCATGAAGGGGGCGTGTGTCCTGCTGGCAGTTTTTGTCCACTGGGCTCGGTTCACCCACATCCCTGTCCTTCAGGAACATACAGTAACAGCACGGGTCTCCAGCATGCAGAGCAGTGTGTCCGCTGTCCTCCAGGGTATGGCTGCTAAACTCTGCATGTTATAAATAAGCATTTGGTTTACTTTCTTAAAGAGACAGTTCACCCAAAACTCTTACATAGGTCCAAACCTGTTAATCTGCTGCGAATTACTAGGGGGTTTGGGGGGGATTGATCCCCCTAATTAACGCTGGTTCCCCCGTGAAAGAGGTCAAAACAAGATGCATGCATGGTCAGTTCTTAAATACTGAGAAATATTTCACTCTGACCTGTATTTTAAATAATAGCGTTAATAATTAGAAATTAAATATACATTTGACCCGCCCCATAATGGTTCAAACCATTCTTAATGCATAATTGCGCCAATTAGTCTATTCGAGAGAAAAGTCTGAAAGCAGCAGATCTAGAGCACCAACAGACATCGTCTTCACAAGACTTTGTTTTGTTCTAAAATAGGTGTTTGTATCTATATTCAGCCTGAAAATAAAATCGAATGGGATGCATAGTTTGTAGTTTACCCTACTGTAACATCTAAACTAGAGAAGTAAAGTTTGTAGACAAACATTTTGGTGGCTTGAGAAAGCCTCGTCTGAGAGTTTGAGGTAGTTTTAAAGATTAAATAAATAAAGTAGTTTAAGAAGTTTAAAACAGTTGGCAAAGTGAGATAAGTACATATGTTAGCATGTTTTAGTATGAATTGGCATGTTTACTGCTAGGCGGCTGTTAGGGGTTCTGAGTGCTAGCTAAGGTGTTGCTAAGGGGCTGCTAGGGTGTTCTGAATGGTTGCTAAGGCTTTGCTAGGGTGTTCTGAGTGCTTGCCAAAGTGTTGCTAGGCGGTTGCTAGGGTGTTCTGAGTGGTTGCTAGGTGGTTGCTAAGGCATTGCTAGGTGGTTTCTATGGTGTTCTGAGTGGTTGCTAAGGTGTTGCTAAGTGGTTGCTAGGGTTTTCTGAATGGTTGCTAAGGCGTTGCTAGGGTGTTCTGAGTGCTTGCTAGGCAGTTGCTAAGGCATCACTAGGTGGTTGCTAGGGTGTTCTGAGTGTTTGCTAAGGCGTTGCTAGGAGGTTGCTAAGATGTTGCTAGGTGGTTGCTAAGGTGTTCTAGGTTGTTGCTAAGGTGTTGCTTGGGGGTTGCTAAGGTGTTTTGAGTGGTTCTTAGGCAGTTGCTAAGGCCAGGTGGTTCCTAAGGTGTTGCAAGGCAGTTGCTAATGTGTTTAGGTTATTACTAAGGTGTTGCTGGGGTGTTCTGAGTTGTTGCTAGACAGTTGCTAATGTGTTGCTAGGCGGTTGCTAAGGAGTTGCTATGCAATTGCTAAGGTGTTCTGAGTGGTTGCTAGGCATTTGGTAACAAAAATTAGAATGGTTCTAGCATGAATTAGCATGTTGCTAGCATGTTTTTATCATAAGTTAGCATGTTATTAGCATGGTTCTAGTATGAATTAGCATATTTCTAGCATGTTTACAGGATAAATTAACATGTTATTAGCATGGTTCTAGTATGAATTAGCATATTACTAGCATGTTTAGGTCATAAATTAGCATGTTATTAGCATGGTTCTAGTATGAATTAGCATATTACTAGCATGTTTACATCATAAATTAGCATATTAGCATGGTTCTAGTATGAATTAGCTTATTACTAGCATGTTTATGTCATAAATTAGCATGTTATTAGCATGGTTCTTCTAGTATGAATTAGCATGTTGCTCGCATTTTCAAGTATAAACTAGCATGTTGTTAGCATGAATTTAGTATGAATTAGCATGTTGCTAGTATTTTACTATGATTGTTATTAGGTTTATAGTATGAATTGGTTTGTTGTTAGTATAACCAATGTAAAGTCATGTAGTTGTGGTATAAATGGTCTTGTATGAGATGCGTTCTTAAAATAGTCTAAGAAGAAGAAAATTAAGTTAATGTAGAATAACAGAATATCAGCTTTTTTAAGCCACCATAAAAAGCTAATCAGAGAATACATGAATCAGAATACTATAAATATCCCTCAAAATGCTGAAAACTTAAACACATTTTATTAATAACCTAGATGTAATTAAATATAAATGCATAAACAGGGCCGGAGCAAGCTGAACTGTCGCTCTAGGCAAAGGACAGTCACACCGCCCTCAACCCTAAAATGAAAGTAGGGGGTGTCGCGGACGCCGCCCTCTCTATTCTGCCGCCCTAGACACTGATATAACTGAGGGCGCAGGTGGGGAGGGTAGTGTCGGGGACGGTGCCCTCTCTATTCTGCCGCCCTAGACACTGATATAACTGAGGGCGCAGGTGGGGAGGGTAGTGTCGGGGACGGTGCCCTCTCTATTTTGCTGCCCTAGACGCGGATATAACTGAGGGCGCGCATGGTGAGGGTAGTGTTCGGGACGTCACCCTCTCTATTTTGCCTCCCTAGACGCAATGTAACTAGTGGCGCGGGTGGTGAGAGTAGTGACGCGGACGCCGCCCTCTCTATTCTGCTGCCCTAGAAACGAATATAACTGAGGGTGCGGGTGGTGAGGGTAGTGTCGCGGACACTGCCCTCTATTCTGCCGCCCTAGGTGGCTGCCTAGGTCGCCTCTATGGACGCGCCGGCCCTGTGCATAAATGACTCAAGCATGTATTACACAAGCCAACAGTTGACAAAGATTTGACCCCCCTGACCATCAATGTATAATTTGCACACTGCATAGCTAGCTACTGAAAAACAATGAGACATTTCTGAATTTCTCTTTTGTGCTTTCAAGAACAAAGAAACCTAAACAAGTTTACATGGAAAAAAGAGAGAGTAAATGAATGATAATGTTGAAACTGTGTTTATTTTTTCTCAGTTATTATTGTTTAGGAACAAACTCCACATCCCCTACTGGTCCCTGCTCTGCAGGGTATTACTGCAGTGGAGGTTCAGCCACACCAGTCCAGCATGAAACTGAGGAGGGACACTTCTCTTTGGAAGGAGCTGTGAGGGCTGAACCATGCCCACTGGGAACTTTCCAACCAGTAAGTGACACAGTAAAAGTATGTTCTCTAAGTAACATTAAGCACCTATTGCATTTCAATTATTTATCAGGGAAGAGGCCACAGCTCCTGTCTCGAGTGTCAGTCAGGAAAACTGTGCAACAAAACAGGCCTATCCCAGCAGCCCCTGTGCCCTCCTGGACACTTCTGTCCAGCTGGCTCCCTTATTGCTCACCCATGCCCCCCTGTGAGTATGAAGTCTATTTCTCATCTAATATACAGTACCATTGCATCTATACACAAAGTTTTGGGGTTGTTAATTTTAATTATACTAGCTTGACAAATCCAGCACACTGAATATCTATATAAGATACTTCCACTTCTTTTTCCAATACTAAATTTTAAATGGCATCTTCTAGATTTTTGAAACTACAACCATTCATCTCCATCAGATCTTTACAATTCTCTGACTCGACAGTATATGCTGTATCCTTTCTTACTGATTAGTCTACAGTCTTTTTGTGTTAAATGGATTTTCATTGAATATGACAAAACTTTTAAATAATACATTTTACATCATGTCTACCAGGTTCCTGACTTTCAACTCATCTGCTGTTCTACTTGTTTAGCCTATTGCTAATAAAGCCTATGCTGCATCCGAAATTTACTATTACCAATATTAGTCCACTAATATAGTCCACCTGAATGACTGTATGAAATCAAACACTCGGTGCACCAGAAGGGATGCCATTTTGTTTATGCTTAGCTGTTTGATGAATCCCTCAGATAGATTAGATTTTCAACGTCTTGGACAGACCCTGTGATAGTTATTGAACACTAAGCTTGCTTTCTATTAGTAATGAAACAAAGACTTTTGATTCCGGTGATGTATACAAAAGTAACTTTAATTACATAAAGTTATTTTTAACCACACACCAATAGGATTGTGTTTTAGATGCCATCTGGTCATCAGATCTGGCAATTTATTCTGTCGCATGAACTTTCCCAGTGTATTATAGGGATTTTCTAGCTGTTGAATATACATGGCTTGTTAACTCATTATTACTTTGCATTGCGTGATTGATTAAGTGCACTTTAAATTACATCCACTATGGTTTTAGACACCACTAACAGTGGCTGCTCCCTCAAGTAGTGCACTATTTGGGGTTTTGTTGGGCGATTTCGGATACAGCCATAGTTACAGTACTAGTCCTAGACTTGCAAGGAACGTCAGCAACATGATACATTTGCTTAAATATGTTAGTACAGTATATGCAAACAGCATGCTAATCATGCTAGAAACATCTCATTTGTGCTAATAAAAAGTTACTTGTAAACAAAATGTTAAACATGCTAATTCATGATGACACTATGCTAAAATGTCAGCCATCTGCTAAAACGTGACATATGACAACATGTTAGAGTTAGAAAAATGCTAACAGTATGTTAATTTATGCTGTCAATAACCATGCCCAAAACATGTTTGCCAATATGTTAGTTCATGTCCTTTTAAAATGTATGCTAGCAATGTGTTAATGTGTTACAAACATACTTGTAACAAGCTAAGTCATTCTAATAAAATGTTAAACAAGCTTACAGCATGTTTAAAGTGCTAACAACATGCTAACAGATAGCAATGTGTTCAAATGCTGGTCATTTGGTAAAATATGTTGAAACATATTAATTCATGCAACATCAAACATACTAATTTAGGCTAGCAAATTGTTGTACACTCTCGGGATTTACTATGGTAATATATATGGCAATGTTAATGTATGTGGTCTTGGCGGTATAGATCTGCTATGCTGCAGCTGCAGTATGATTTTTATGGCAGAGCAAGTATCGAGACCATAGCAGAAATTTCACTAATTGAAACATAAATATTTTGTACATTGCATGGTAAATGGGTTTACTGTCACTTTGATTAGTTTATTATTGCCAAATAAATGACAGTGATTTTTGTCATTAAATGAAGGGTACGTACACTGCAAGTTCAGGGGCTGAAGATCTGCAGCACTGCAGCCCATGTGATGCTGGTCAGTACTGCCACTCTCCTGGACTAACTGCACCTCAAGGTCCCTGTGAGGCTGGGTTTTACTGCACTGGGGGATCCCATGTCGCCACTCCGGTAACCACATACTGTCCATCACACATGTTGATCAGTGTGATTCAATCCGGGATTGAATCATTATTCTTTCATTAACTGATTCTTTTACAGTTTAGCTCCAGGTTTGGTGACATATGCCCCATGGGTTATTACTGCCCGGCAGGCACCAGACACCCTCACGAGTTCCCCTGTCCTCCTGGGACATGGAGCAATGCACTGGGGTCCAAAAGCGTGTCGTCCTGTTGGCTCTGTCCTGCTGGATTTTACTGCAACAGTTCTGGTCTCATTCAGCCATCCGGAAATTGTGCCCCAGGTGCAAATATGCAGAATCTCAGTTCCCACCAGACTGACTTTTGTTTTTAAAATGAACCAAACTAACCGACCTGTTTTGTCCTGTAGGTTTTTATTGTGCAGGCGGTGCTAAAACAGCCATGCCTGATGATGGGCTTACGGGAAATCGGTGTCCGACACGGTATTACTGTCCACAGGGGTGTGCATCGCCTCTGCACTGCCCTGATGGAACACATTCAAATAGCACAGGTATACATTCATGTGCTTTAAAGGCATGTGTTATATACATTTGAAGCAGAATATCCAGAGTATGTACGCTAAATTTCTTTATCCCAAAACTTCCCAAAAATTTCTTGATCACCAATAATTCCATTAATGGTGGCTTTACCGTAATTTGCACAGTTCTGAATTTTACCATGTTAAACATGTAGTGAAATAGAAGATTAAAAGTAATGTGGTTTAAAATAATAGCATGTTAAAAATGGGATTTTAACATTTTCATCCAATAATAGAACCTTTCTAGGGTTAATACTGGCCAGAACCCAGTGGTTAATTTGTAAATGAATAATTTTCGGAACAAAACTAACAAATAAAAGCCATTGTGATCAACCCAAACCACACGCTTTCAATTTCCCCGGAACATGACATCACTAAATGGTCATAACACAACTAATGCAGGGCTCACACCAAATGCTGAATTAAGTTGCTTAGTCACCCGAGTAAGTTACAAACAATGTAAAACTCAATAGAGTTTTTGTGAACACGAATAGAAGTGAATTATCACCGCATGGAGCAAATCCGTGAGAGGATATCAGATATTTTCCAGAATAGGATCCAGCAAGATCCAACTTAAAGTAAGCACTGATAGCTCCCACTCTATAAGATATATCAGAACATTAGTTTGTACTTGTAGAAATTTTTCACAGGGTATAGTGTATCCGAAAATCTTTGAAATATGTTCTTTACCATCACCATACTTTTTACACTTTCAAGAAAGCAAAATTCAATTTATTCTCTTAATGGTTAATTATTTTTTAAATTATAAATCATACAAAAAAAAAAATAAAATAAACACAGGTCCAAAATTATACTAAATTAAAAATAGCCAAAGTATACATTTAAGTAGGGATGCACCAGTATTGGGTATTGGGCCGATACTTGGTTAAAATACTTCTACTCGTATCATACATGAAATGCCAGTACCACGCACTAATTTTCTTTTCGGCTTAGTCCCTTCTGGGGTTGCCACAGTGGAATGTACAGATAACTTATCCAACTTATTTTTTACGCAACCCATCACTGAGAAACTAATTTTATATATAAACTACAAATAAAAAAATGAAAGAAATTTTAAGTAATGGAACATTATATGTAAAAAAAATCTAAACTACTACAGGCTAAATAAAAGCGTCTCACCAAAGCTGAACATGAGACAGCCAGCCTATGCATGATAGACCACACAATCTCAATAAACACTTGATGCTAGCTGTCAACTAGTCTACATTATTTAAGGGCATTCATGAAGACATTCATAGGATTTGTTGTTGTCAAACTTGTTTTCTTTTTTAATATTTAGTCAATATTTTCTTTGAAATCTGTAATGCCACTATTATCCCTCATCACTGGTTAAAAAAAACAACCTTTGTTATTTTAAATGTATATTTTTGGTATCGGCGAGTGCACAATTTAAAATATGCATACTTGTATCGCTTTGTAAAAAGTGGTATCGGTCCATCCCTACATCTAAGCATATTTTCAAAGATGATAAAGCTATAAAACTTATACAATTTATTAATATTGACAACCATAACTAGTGCATATATTCAAATTGTGCTCTATTCAGAATAACATTCATAAACAACTTTATGCATCTTGTTTGTTCCTTGTCTTCAGCTCATACACACATCTACTCATTTATCATTATCATAATTATCATCTCAAAGCACAATAGAGTAAGTTGTAATCCTGTGTTATTAATGTGTGTGAATGCAGGTTCTGCAGAATGCAGCGACTGTCCCACTGGATGGCTGTGTCTGGAGGGTGAGGACCTCCAGTTGTGTCCAAAGGGGCATTACTGCGTGGGGGGCACAGTGGAGGACATTCTCCCCTGCCCTCCAGGCACATACAGCCCTAAAGCAGGACAAAGCCAAGTAGAGCAGTGTTTACTGTGCTCAGCTGGTGAGAGCAGTGCCCCTGCTTTACTTACACCCTTGGCAGTTTTAATAACACTGGTGTAGTTTTATGTTCATCACACACACCTGTCATTTTAAGGAATGTACTGTGAAGACTGGGGACTAGTTGAACCTACTGGTCCCTGCCAGGCTGGGTATTTTTGCTTCGCAGGTAGGTCCAGTTATATAGACATTGGTATTTAAGTTACCATATTTTCCGGAATATAATGTTTTTCATTAATTGAAAGTGATTTACAATGCATCCGGAAAGTATTCATAGCGCTTCACTGTTTCCACAATTTTATGTTACTGCCTTATTCCAAAATTGATTAAATTGATTTATTTCCTCAAAATTCTACACACAATTCCCTATAATGACAATGTAAAAAAAGATTTTTTGAAATTGTTGGAAAAACTCTGTGAATGTCCTTGAGTGGCCTAGCCAGAGCCCAGACCTAAATCCTATTGAACATCTCTGGAGACATCTGGAAATGGCTGTACACCGTCGCTTTTTATTCAACCTGATAGAGCTTGAGAGGTACTTTGAGGAATGAGCAAAAAATCCCAAAGACAGATGTGCCAAGCTTGTGGCATCATATTCAAAAAGACAAGGCTGTAATTGCATAAACAATTGATGATGTAATTGTAAGGTGCATCAACAAAGTATTGAGCAAAGGCTGTGAATACTTAAGTACATGTGATTTTTCAGGTTTTTTATTTTTAATAAATTTGCAACAATTAAAAAAAAATCTTTTTTCACATTGTCATTATGGGGTATTGTGTGTACTATTTTGAGGAAATAAATGAATTTAATCCATTTTGAAATAAGGCTGTAACAAAAAAATGTGGAAAAAGTGAAGCGCTATGAATACTTTCCGGATGCACTTTACATTATATAATGCAATTAACATTGGTGGATTTGGAGCTTTGAAAAGTGAATTTCCCATTTGCCACTTCACTTTCAGTTTCAATTTACATAGATTTATTTAGGCTCTCCATATAAAATAAACATTGTTTCCCCCACAGTCCAAATACATGAAGTATAGGTGAATTGAATAAGCTAAATTGGCCGTAAATGTGTGTATGTGTGTGTGTGTGTGTGTGTGTGTGCGTGTGTGTGTGTGTGTGTGTGTGTGCAAGAATGTTTGGATGTTTCCCAGTGTTGGGTTGCAGATACAAGGGCATCCGCTGCATAAAAAAAAAACAAGTTGGCGGTTCATTCCGCTGTGGTGACCCTAGATTAACAAAGGAACTAGGCCAGAAAGAAAATTAATAAATGAAAAACTGACTGCAGACAGCGATTACTTTGTTACTGCGCATCATTTAAAAAAACATTGATCATCATAGTTTTGATGTTGCTCATTACATAACAATTAGTTCACCTTAAATTGGTTCAATACACTGTGTTGCTTCACAGCAGTTATTAGTTTGCATGGGTGACAGAGGAATTCTGCCACTGTCTTTTACATATTTAAAATTTTCTCTACCACAGGGGTGCTCAAAGTTTTTCTAATGAAGGGTCAAAATCCAAGCTTGATTGAGAGCTGTGGGCCAAAAGTAAATATAGCAAACTGTATTACATTAAAGTAGCCACAGGTAATTTCCCAATTTATTTAATAATATTTAATTGAATTTAATTTTATCAATTGAAAAAATTTACTTATTTACAAATGTTTAGAAAATGTGTATTATTTTAACAAACTTATTACAATAAAAACATAAACAAAATTCCATGCAATTCAATGCTTTGTCCCTTATTCGTTAAGTGACAGTATGAATTAAAAAAAAAAAATCTGATTCATTTAATCATTTAATTTCGATTTTTTTTTTATAGCTCAGCAATTAAGCTAACAAACAAAAGGTTACGTTAAAATAGAAATGAGAACCTCTGTTAAAGGCATTCCCTAACCTTTCCCAATCCTTTTTTCTCTGGCGGGCCAAATCAAAGGAGACAATAGGCCAACTTTGGCCTGAGGGCCTTAGTTTGGGCATCTCTGCTTTACAAGTTCTCAGTAGATACAATAATCAGGTGATGCTTGATTTCCGGAAAATATGGTTCTAAGTTTCTCATTTTTGTTAATTTGTACTAAAACGTGTGGTTTATGTGCATTCGTTTGACTTTTGCAGGCATAAACTTCCAGAATCCTGATGCGAATATTAGCACAGGGGTGGGTGGGTCATGTCCTGTGGGTCATTACTGTCCTGAGGGCACCAGCCTTCCTTTACCCTGCCCGCTTGGCACCTTTTCAAACAGGTAACTCAGAGGGTCAATTGGTTCCACTGCACTAATTTGACTGAATGACATATGAACAGATTTCTTTTTGTTTTTACAGTCTGTATGTCACTGCGGTCTCAGGGTGCTCTGTGTGTCCCGCCGGGCTATTTTGTGGTTCAGTGGGCTTAAGTAGACCATCTGGACCCTGCCGAGAGGGGTTTTACTGCCCGGCTGGAGCATCATCATCTACTGGTGTGACTGTGTTTGTTAAAGCAAGGCCGTCATTATTCATGGTCTGGTTGTGTTGTAGTTCTGACTGTGCTCTTATGGTTTGTGTAGGTTCGAATTCTGAAGGTGGTCTCTGTCCTCAAGCACACTTCTGTCCTGCTGGCAGTGCTGTACCGGTTCCATGTCCTGCGGGCACCTATACTAACCTGACAGGACAGATTAAGTGCAGTCTATGCCATGCTGGATACTATTGTCCAGAGAGTACCAGCAATTACAATCTGTACCCCTGTCCTGCTGGATTCTACTGCCCTGATGGTAAGACACAGAAATAAATATAAATTAGTTAAAACAAAAAGAAACATCTATTGCATAAACTGTGGAAAATCTATTTTCTAATGAGTATTTGTAAAATATTTTTAGTTAAAACAAGATTTTGGGAGACGAGTGCAATACAGTATTTGTACCTTGAAGGTTGTTGATTTTAGATATTTACAAAAAAATGGGATTCATTTAGAATATATTAATGCAGTATATTGTCAGTTTAGTCATCCGCTTCAAATGTTATCACTCGATTGAATGGACGTTGTCTGTTTTTATCAGCTGATAGATATGGGCCAGTAGGGGCCTTCTGTGCCTACTAGTAGGCTCAGAAGGCTGTTATTATCCATCCTCATAGTTGATCAGCTATACGAATAGAGAAGACTCCAGATCTGTTTTTACATTACTGTGAGGGTTGGGGTAGGGGTAGACTTAATGGGAAATTTAATAAATAATATAAATAATTCTTGTTAACTTTCAGCCGCAGCCATATGTAATCTATAGCTGATTAACCATGTGGATAGATGATAACGAATACAAGAAGGCGCAGAAGACCTCTAGTGGCCCATATCTGTCTATCGGTCTTAAAAAGTCTTCAGGTGTCTTAAATCTCAAAAACAAAATTTTAGGCCTTAAAAGTCTTACATTTGCTGAAACATTTTGTTGTAGAAAAATCTTTTTTTAACATGCCTTAATTTTCCTTTGTTCATGTATAGCCACTTATTCTGACCAACAGTAACATTCCACCTCAATAAAAAATAATAATAATAAAAATTAAATGTTATTTTTTAAACTCTGTTTAGCATAATGTTTTAATTATTTTCTTTAATAATGATGATGATAATAATAATAATAATAATAATTATAATAATAATAATAGTAATAATAATAATAATAATAATAATAATTCCTTACATTTATATAGCACATTTATAGACACTCAAAGCACTTTACACATTGGGGGGAATCTCCTCCTCCACCACCAGTGTGCTGCATCCACCTGGATGATGCGACAGCCATATTGCACCTGACTGCACACCACACTAGCTGATTATGAGCAATTATGATATGGGGATGGTTAGTAGGCCATGATGGACAGAGGCCAGTTGGCAAATTTTGCCAGAATTCTAGGGTTAAACCCCTAATCTTTACGAAAGACATCCTGGGATTTTTAATGACCACAGAGAGTCAAGATCTCTGTTTAATGTCTCACCTGGAAGACGTCGCTCACTGAGCAGTATAGTGTCCCCTTCTTCGCTATACTGGGGAACCCACACAGACCACAGGTTGAGCACCCCCTGCTGGCCTCACTATCACCTTACAATAACATTTGTTTAATAGTTTTCTATGTATTGACTGCTGAAGAAACTGACCTGGACAGATATTTGTGCATACATTTAATTTATTATTGTTTTTAAAATGTTAAAAAATATAGATTTAATTTTTTAGAAAGTTTATGTTAAAACAAGTGTATGTATAAAAACTAGAGCTTGCTTGTTTTGAGACCGTATTTGAAATATGTTGCTAAGAAATAACAAAAATTTATTGTTAAATAATTTGTATTATTCTACTATTAAATTATATTATTTTTTGATACATCAGAAAAAAAATACTTTTAGGCCATTAGAAAAACTCTTTAGCATTTAGCCCTGTATGAGTCTAAAATTTAATTTATAATTGTTTTAAAAATGTTTAAATTTAATTTGGTGAAACCTGCATAAACCCTGTGTCAGCTGATAACCACTGATAATGCCCATTCAATCGAGTGATAACATTTGAATCCGCTAGTTTAGCTGTCTTTTAATTATAATTTTTTTTAAATTGAATATTTATTCAGACAAAATATTATCAAAAAAAAAAGAATATTATATTATTGACAAAAAGGGTAATTGTTGGCTTATTACAACAAGCCAGAATTTTCATATTGGTCAGTCACTAATATTAAAACTTATTTTCAAAGAATATAGAATACATGTATTGAATATTATTACACTTGTAGATTTTTAACCTAATACTGGTAGCAGACAAAATATACTTTTGATAAATAAAATGACGCAGTTTAGTATTTTTTTTATTTTATTTTTACAGGAACAAAGCATGCTAACCAGTTCCCTTGTCCACGAGGCTATTACAACCCTGAGCTGATGACCCACAGCCTGGACAGCTGCTTACCCTGTCCTCCAGGCCACTTCTGTGAGAAAGAGCACCTGTCCGCTGTGTCTGGCAAATGCAAAGCCGGTACGTGCATCACTTGATTGAAACATGATTCACAACAACTTCAATTTTAACCAGTGAAATCAATGCACAGGATGGTTTTGTGTATCTGCTGCCTGGAACCCTCAACCCTTTGACCTGGACAACTACACTAACGCTAACTGCCTGTGCCCTGCTTCCTCCACTGGGGGCAGATGCCAGGAGGGCTTTTACTGCCCTTCGGGGACCTCTGAGCCTCTGCCCTGCCCTCCAGGAGCTTTCTGCAATGCAACCGGTGCGTGATCACTTGATACATAGCAAAACAACTAGCCTGTGTGCCTTTTTGAAACTCTTGTTTATACCTGACCTTCTAAAACAGGTTTAGCCCTGCCGAGTGGACCGTGCTCTCCTGGGTATTACTGCACACGAGAAGCCTCTTTCTCCAGGCCTACAGATGGCATCACGGGGAACATCTGCCCTCCAGGAACTTACTGTGGTAAGTACTGGGCAATTCAGATAGTGCTGATTGATGTCACTATATGTAAGAATGTCTTAGTATTAATCACGTTTATTTAAATAAAATGTCTTCACATGATCTTGAGAATTTTTCTTTTTGCTTTATGACACATTAAACAAATGCTTACACAATGTTCAGGATAATGCCAACAAACCCATTTTGTACTGCCATCACGGTGTAATGATAATAAAATGAGTTAATTGAAGTTATTGTTTCATGAAGCCAGATCTATATAGTTTAAAGTGTTATCATATATGCATATGTATATATAAATTTATAAATATGTTCTTTCTATAGATTTAATTAAAAGCTTTTACATTAATTTTATTATTTTACATTAATTTTATTATTATCACTTAAGTTTTTTTTTTAGGTCTTTTTGTTTTATTAATTTAAATTTGATTTAATTATGGTTCACCTCTTTCCTGGGTGCTTAGTTCATGCTTAAGCACTTTAACCAAGACTTTTTTTTTTAAAAATGGAAAAATGTATTCCAGAATTTATTCCAGAATCAACAATACTGAACAATAGTTAGACTATGGTTGGACTAAGTTCATTTTTGTTTAACTTTTTTCATCTTTTCCACAGATGAGGGCTCCAGTGCACCACAGCCATGTCCAGCAGGCACTTTCTCCCCATCAGCAGGCCTAATGAGCCAGGAAGAATGTCAGGCTTGTCGAGCCGGTCACTACTGCGCTACCACAGGCCTTCAGGCTCCTACTGCCCCCTGTAGACAGGGTGAGAACCACAAACACCATCACTGCTCAAAATAAAAACAGTCTGGTAAAGTGTTTCAAACATTTCCAGATCTTGTCCTTGTCCTTTTTTTTTGGTAGGTTACTGGTGCCTGCCTGGTCAGACAGATGACCTAGCTCTGCCGTGTCTGGTCGGTCATTACTGTCCCCCAGGAAGCCCTGTCCCAATTCTTTGTCCCAGTGGGACATATCAGGACAAGCAGAAACAGGCAAACTGTACAATCTGTGAAGCAGGCAAGCTGTAGTTATCTAAAGCAAACTGTGTGACACACTCCCACATTTCTATTTCTGAAACACATACTGAAGCTTGTGCCCTTTTCTGTTTCTTCTACACCAGGATTTTATTGCGATGAGAATTTTGGGGCTGCAAATATGTCCGCCATGCAGCCTTGTCCAAAGGGACATTACTGTCCTGAAGGAACTGGTTATGCTGAACAGTTTCCATGCCCTGTTGGCACGTATAACCCCCGTGAGCTTATGGACAGCCAAAGGAACTGTCTGTTGTGTCCGCCAGGACATTACTGTCCACATGTTGGACTTGAAGAACCTACAGGTGAAAGCAGTGATCTTTTAGTGCAAATTCTAAAGCTTATATAACCACAAAATGCCAAATTCTTGTTTTACAAACATTGTGTTCAAATGATTGTTGGTAGGATTGTGTTTGGCTGGTTTCTGGTGCAAACAGGGCTCCCATTCTTCCAGTCCTATGGGTGGTCCTACAGGCGATGTATGCCCAGTTGGTCACTATTGTCCTAAAGGTATTGTCCTAAAGCCATCAAAATAGCTTTCAGCAGCTTGTCTCATATGCTTACTAGAATATATTTTGTAAAAAGGAGCACTGTGTACAGTTTGTTACACTGTTAAAAGTGTGGCTAGTACAAATAAGTTGATAATTATTTTGTGTATCTGTAAGCAGCATATATACAGATATATAAAACATTTGTCTTTGCCATGATGACAGTGCATATTATTTACTAGCAAGATACTCATATTCAGTTTAAGTGCAATTTAAAGTAGAGGGGTCTGGATTCAGACCTAGTGCAGTGCAATCTGAGCTGCATCCAATGCGCTCACCTAACCCCACCCCTAACCCTACCCGTCACAGTGACGTCACTCACTCCATTGAGTGCATTGTGTCTGACATTGCGTCTCAGCTTGCATCATAGTGGCTGCATCCAGATAGTATTGATTTAAAGGCTTAACTAGGTTTAATAGGCAAGTTAAATTAATTGGGCAAGTCATTAGAAAAACCATTGTCATTGACCTTAGCAGTTAAGACATTTCACTTTCATTTAAAAAAAATGCAAATGTTTTTTTATTACTCTCATATATATATATATATATATATATATATATATATATATATATATATATATATATATATATATTTGACATAAACATTTAAATATTGGCAGATATTATATATATGATGCCCATATTGACTACTATATAATGTGTCCTAATTTACAAATGCAGCACACTTGTAATGAATCTATAAATTTTTTTTATGTAAATATTCTAATTCCATTAAATTTAATCACAGCTTATGTTGTAGAACTTGTTATACATAATGTATGTGAAGTCAAACGTGTGAAGCTCATTAAAAACAATATTTTAAAGCTCTCCCTATGTTACTACAGGCACTGCCAGTCCTGTGCCCTGTCCGGTGGGAACATGGTCTAACAGTACAGGTCTAAGGATTGCTGAGGATTGCCAATCTTGCCCTGGAGGCTTTTACTGTGCCTCTACTGGTCTGAATGGACCAAGTGGACTCTGCTCTGAGGGGTGTGTAACCAAACAATGCTTCTCTCTGAACTGCAACGCAAATGCCCAGACTTAATCTATGCCATAATTTCACCCAAAGGTTTTATTGTACTGAGAAAGCAGAAAGTCCCACTCCCATTGATGGGATCACTGGTCACGTCTGTCCAGAGGGTCATTACTGTCCTCCAGGAGCCACTCGACCTGTGCCATGCCACTCTGGGACGTTTGTAACTGTCCCTCAAGCCTCTCAGTGCTGGGCCTGCACCGCTGGCTGGTACTGTGCTGATGGAGGCCGGCTGCTGTGTCCAGCTGGTTGGTGCTTTGGTCTCTCCTTGGCTATGTTCGGAATGGAGTACTAATATACTGCTAACTGCTCCCTACAGTTTTATAAAGAAGTATGTGAAACAGTATGCATTATGCAACTGTTTGTGTGCCGCCGCATGACTTTGTCACATTGCACATTTAATTATAATAGAAGCATCCAGTTATTATTTAGTTTCATTGTAAACTAGATGTTTTGTGTAAAATATATCAAATAATAATTACAGAGGAAGTATATGTATAAAATAACATTTTATTTTTGGTTTTCACAGCCATGGTAAACATCAAGAGATTCTCAGCTTCTTTGGATTTATGGATTTGACCTTATTTTGACATTTATTTTGAATTTGGAATTTCTGGGGAAAAAAAAAAAAATTATATATATATATATATATATATACAGTTATATATACAGTTTTGTGAAGTACAATATTTTTATTTCTTATTTGGAAGAAACATTTCCCAATAACATTTACAAAAATAGGTCCAGTAAATTCAGAGAAAATGAGAATTTTCAAGTGGTCACTTAAAATCCACAGCTTTTTTTTCATGTTCATTTAATAATAGTATGGTAGTATGCTATTCCGAACATATTCAGTGTATAAAACAACTAGACTAGTAGTGAAATTATTGTTCCTGAACATAGAAGATGCTCATGAAACAATTAAATAGCAAACAGCACCACACCGTGGAGAAACACGTTACACAAGCATCCTGACTGATTGCAGCATGGTGCTGGAATCATGTCACTTTTTTTCCTGTTGTCTATCTTCTATCTGTAGGATTCTATTGTCCTGAAGGCACAGGGTATGACATAAGGCCCTGTCCGGCAGGAACATACAGTCCTGACTCTGGTTTGATCAGCCTCTCTGAGTGTAGAGCATGTGACGGAGGACACTACTGCTCTCTCCAGAACTCCAGCTCCGTCACGGGACAGTGTTCAGAAGGGTATTACTGTGCACAAGGGAACATCTCACCTCAACCTTACACACAGAACACAGGTAACTCAATATATATATTGTACATATATATATATATATGTGTATATGTGTGTGTGTGTGTGTGTGTGTGTGTGTGTGTGTGTGTGTGTGTGTGTGTGTGTGTGTGTGTGTGTGTAAAAGACTATGTATAATCAATAAGTTGTTTTTTTCTAAGGAGTTGGAGGACTTTGTCCTGTGGGTCACTTTTGCCCACAAGGCACTGCTCAACCTCAGCCTTGTCCAGAGGGCACATTCAGTAACAGAACCAAACTGGTCAAAGTGGTAAGGATAATTTCTGTGTTTATATTATTAATGTAACTGCACAATACCACACAAGTCCTGTTGCCAACAGTCACTCTTATAAAGGCCACACATACCGTTCTTCAACAGGAAGAGTGTTTGTCATGTCCTGCTGGTCATTATTGCAACATATCTGGACTGACTTCCCCCAGTGGAGAATGCTGGGAAGGTTTTTACTGCACAAAGGGAGCCGTACTCCCCAACAGCCCAATCACAGATCACAGAGGAGGACCGTGTCCGACAGGTAATTGACAGATCTCCCAGTTCAAGCCAGATTAAAAACACGCCCACCTTCCCCTCAAACCGGCCCACCTCATCCGGTTTTCCTCTCAACCCACAGGTTATTTTTGCTGGAAAGGCTCAGGCGCTCCTCAAGCCTGTCCAGAAGGCTCCATCAGCAGCAGAGAGGGACAGAACAGCTGCAGTCTCTGTCCCCAAGGGTACATATACTTTCACAGTATATACAGTACATGACCGTGCTTAACATTTAAAATAAGACTGTTTCACATTGCCTGTATAGTTTGAAACTGGTAACTGCTGTGGTTTGCATGACAATCAAGAGCACATCTGTGTGAGTTTAGCTAAACTGGAACTTAATTTATATGAGTGTAAAATCACAATGGCGGCAAGGGAATGAATGGCTCACAATTAGAAAAGAGTCTGTTTGCTAGCCTTCCTGCTACACACATAGTGTTGTGGATATACAGTTGAAGTCAGAATTATCAGCCCCCCAGAATTATTAGTTTCCCTGTTTATTTTTTTCCCCAATTTAATAATAACGGAGAGAAGATTTTTTTCAACACCTTTCTAAACATAATAGTTTTAATAACTCATCTCTAATAACTGATTTGTTTTATCTTTGCCATGATTACAGTAAATAATATTTGACTAGATATTTTTCAAGACACTTCTATACAGCTTAAAGTGACATTTAAAGGCTTAATTAGGTCAATTAGGTTAACTAGGCAGGTTAGGGTAATTAGGCAAGTTATTGTATAACCATGGTTTGTTCTGTAGACTATCGAAAAAGAACTAGCTTGAAAGGGCTAATAATTTTAACCTTTAAAATGGTTATTAACCTTATAAACCTTATATAATATAATCTTATAAAAATGGTTCAAAACTGCTTTTCTTCTGGTCAAAATAAAACATATAAGACTTTCTCCTGAAGGAAAAATATTATCAGACATACTGTGAAAATTTATTTGCCCTGTTAAACATAATTTGGGAAATATTTAAATAAGAAAAACAAATTTAAAGTAGGGCTAATAATTCTGACTTCAACTGTGTAAGCACACTAAATTAAAAATAAAACACACAGAGTGCAGCTAGGGTCAGCCTTCTCTCAAAAAATCTTTACTGACCAGGCGTCTCCTTTATAAAACTGCGCAGAAACTTTCTTAAACGTGAACATATGCCAGAATAAATCTTTAGTTATTTAATAATGATTATGGCTTATATGATGAATTAAAGTGGCTCAATTAAGTCAATATCTAAGTTAGGTTATGTTTACTCAGAGCTTACTTACTTTATAGATCACAACCTTTGCGTGGGGAAGTGGCATACTCATGTTTCCACCCTCATTTTGTGCGTATGTCGTGTATATAAATTAGTTTTTGGCTCTCAGGGATTATGAAAACTTGATACTGCATTTCATGCTATTTGTTCAAAGTGACCCACTGTTGCCCTTCCTACGCAATCTTTAAATCTGTCCAATCATGTGTTGTTGTTACATGACTGATTAATGTGCTTGATCTTAAAAAAGAGACATTGTTCCCAATGGCTTCTATGCTCATAATACGAGACAGAGTGAAACTTGGTCTTCATTTAAACTCAGTTGAATGAGTTCTTAAGTGAACAAGTGTCATTCACTGCTCTTCACTTAATAACTATCACTGTATATTTAGATCATACTGTGATGTAGACCAAGCAGCATTTTATTTTTACATGTAATTGCTGGAGTCGATGTCTGTATAGCGCATTATTATTTTTAATAAGTTATATTATAAAATTAGTTTTAATTTTTTTATTCTGTTTTTCTAATGTTCGTTTTTTGATTATTGACAACAAATCTGCTTATTAAGGGGTTGTTAATCATTTTGTGTTTATGCCCACCTAAACCTTTGCTTAAGGCCCTCAGAAGTCTAGAATGTCACTGCAAACACAATATATTACCAATGTTTTGCTTTCTGCCATGCTGTGTGTACATTTGTGATGAGATGAGTGCAAATGAACCATAGTTTGATGAAATCAAGTGAGTGTGAAACTAACATTATTGTGTTTTTAAAATTATGCCTTTTCACTTAAAGTTACTACTGTCCTGCCAATGGTTCATCATCGGAGGGCATTGAATGCCCAATGGGCCATTACTGCCCTATGGGCACTCATCTACAGAATCAGCACCCCTGTCCAGCAGGGACTATTAATCCCCATATGAGGATGGCCAGCCGTGAAGACTGTTTACCCTGCCCTTCAGGTACCATTTCTACAGTCGACTGAACTCCTATCGAGTCATTTCTCAGAGTTACGCATCTCTTATTCTCAGAGGGTGATGCTGCCCTACTTTCTCTCAGCATTGGAGTCACACCATTTTCAGCTACTGCCTCTTGTGCTTTCAGCATCTGTCAAAACTTAGAGAAATATCCAACAAACTCTCCTCCTGGCAGGTTTCTTCTGTGAGTCTGCTGGACGGAGTGCTGTGTCTGGACCATGTGCAGCTGGACACTTTTGTCTATCTGGAGCCACGTCCCCTACACCTGTGAATGCAGGAGCAGGTGGTGAATGTCCTCGAGGACACTATTGTCCTGTAGGGTCTTCGTCCCCGGAGCCATGTCCACTTGGCCACTTTAGCAACAGCAGCAGAAACACTAAGCTGTCTGACTGTCTGCTTTGCCCTCCAGGTCAGTGCTGTTCTTTAGGCACTTCAGACGCTGTATTTGGCCTGTGCTCATTTGTGCATTTTTTTCTTTTTGTAGGATTTGCTTGCTCCAGCAGGGGGCTCTCTTCTCCTTCTCATGTTTGTCAGATGGGCTACTTTTGTCCACAGGGTCAAAATTCCAGCCAGCCTGCCAACTACATTTGCTCATCAGGGTATATGTGTCCACCTGGCAGTCCTGTCCAGTTCCCTTGTCCAGTTGGGACTTACCAGAACCTCCATGGGCAGGTTAGCTCAGAGACAGGCTTGGTTGTAGATAGAAATGTGTTACTTAATTACTAATGTTAATTACTAGTGTTACTAATTAATTTATATAAAGATTAAATATAATAAAAAATAAGTATTATTTATTTTAATAGCATTTATTTTGTGAGTTGAAATAAAGAATAAATAAAATAAAGTATCAATATAGATATTAGATTAACTTAAAAAAAAATACAAAAAGTACAAAATGTTATAGCAAAAATTACTAAAACTAAAACTTAAACTTAAAGTAAAAATAAAACTCAAATAAAAATAAAGCTTACTCAAAAGATTAATAAACAATCAAAAAATTGACAAATAAAATTAAAATTTCACGACATTTATATGATCAATAACAGTAATTTGTGTTGGAGATGGTTTATGGAAATCACTTTTTGACTAGTTTTTAATTAAAATTACATACTAATATTTGGTATTATACTAATATGTCATTGGTAGATATCCCAAAAATTTTCAATTTACTCTTTTCAATGACAAATTAAGCAACTTTAATGTGTTCTGTATTGACCTTATTCTGCAATGTGGAAATGCGCACATGTTTGAGATTGTTAAGAAGGTCCGATTCAGTCACCTATGGTAGAAATTACTAGTAATAATAAATGGCACAAATCTTTCAAACTATTTGCTTTACAAACAAGTGTGTTCATGACTATAGATAAACATATATATATATACACATATATACTATAATATAATGAGGTGGTGCAGTGGGTAGCGATGTCGCCTCACAGCAAGATGGTCACTGGTTCGAGCCTCGGCTGGGTCAGTTTGCATTTCTGTGTGGAGTTTGGATGATTTCCCCGTGTTCGCGTGGGTTTCCTCTGGGTGCTCCAGTTTCCCCCACAAATCCAAAGACATGTGATATAGGTGAATTGGGTAAGCTAAATTGGCCATAGTGGATGTATGTGAATAAAGTTGTATAGATGTTCCATGCACTGGGTTGCAGCTAGAAGGGTGTTCGCTGCGTAAAATATATGCTGGATTAGTTGCCGGTTCATTCCGCTGTGGCGACTCTTGATCAATAAAGGGACTAAGCCAAAAAGAAAATGAATGAATAAATGTTCATTGTACAAAAGATCAGTATCAAAAGAGAACAAAGTGAAACAAATTATAGAGATCTCGGACGAGCCCCCAATTGTGTCACAGCCATAATTTAAATATGACTCGTGATCATAACATAATGTAACGTAAATAAACAACGCCCAAAGTGCTCCAACTAAATTATTCAATAACATAACATAACCAAGCAAAACAATCCAACATGACAAGAGAGGCTAACAACATAATAAATAACAACCAAACAAACCTAAAGCAGGTTGGAACTCTCCACTCCAAACAAATACCAAAAGTAAAGTATAAAGGAGAACACAACAATAAAGCCGTCAAAAACTGGTGGAATGAGGAATCGAGAGAAGTCTGCTTTCGTCTATTTTAAAGGCCTGACGCCACCAAATCAACCCATAGATAACTGAAAAGGGAAAAAGACAAACAAGATTAATTGCAAGTAATAATTGTGGGCAGGAGTGAAGGCCACAAGCAACAAATATAATACGAAAATCTCAACATAAAAAAGCAACAATAACAAGCTGTTTTAATGTCTAAAAATCAATGTAGCTGAATGAGAATGGAAGTCTCGAATCAAAAAGATTCCAATGGCTGTGTCTGCTCATACATGAAGAATAAGGTCAATAGAACAAAAAGAAAAACAGAAATGTAAAAAGCACCACAAGCCTAAATATTAAAACTGTATCTGCTTTATGTCCACAGGCAGAATGTTTGCTGTGCCCAGCTGGATATTTTTGTGCTGCTTCAGACACAGTAACAGGAGGAACTTCTATACCTGTGCCCTGTCCTGCAGGATATTA